CCCCCCCCCCCCCCCCCCCGCCCTTTCTTTGTAATGGCAGAACTGAAGCAAGCAAGCTAACAGATTAATTACTTGCAAGGTTTCTGACACCCGTAGACACAGAGCCCTTTCACAGATAATGTGTGACACTGGCCTAGCGAAAGGAGGAAGGGAGCAGTCACGTGAGCAGGAGCATGTGCTCTACAGCCATGCGCACAGAAAGACATGCACTGTTCGGAGCGGGCATAGCAGAAATAGAAGGGCGCATTGCCCTCAAGAAGGGTGACCTTATGTTCTACAGAGAAATATATGCACATGTAATTGACAGCCACGCTTTTTAAAAAAATGCCCTATTTGGAAGAGAGAGTATTTTGTATACCGTATTTCATGTAGAACAGTACAGAATAGTACCCTTGACTGTTCTTGCTTGACCACACGGCCCCGTCCGTGGCCTTTCCTTGGCAGCAGTAGGGAAGCTCTTTCCTCTTGTCTTCTTCTGGTAGTCATGGAGACGTGGCCTTCTGCTCAGGGATGGAATCGAGATCCAAGCATGCCAGGCAGAGGACTGCCTGGCCTTTGCTTGAACACCTCCAGCGAAGGGACGCCCGCTGTCTCCTGAAGAAATTGGTTCTACTGTCAAACTGCTTTTGCCGCTAAGCAAGTTTTTTAAGCCAAACAACAAAAACTTTCAATCAGAAGCTGCCGTTCCAACTGTGAATCCATCCAAATATGAAGTGGGTCTAACCCTGCTTAGTTTTCTGAGATTAGGCAAGACCATAGAGTTCATACGTTGGGTTTGCCTAATTCAGGAGCCTTTTTCTTGTTTGTGGAGGATCCCACTGTTGCCTTTAGTGTGACGGATATGAGAGACCGGAAATCACACTGTTTTTTTACTGTTTTTTGACAGTCTAGAAACCTTCTGGGCAGGAGATAGGACTTGGCTTAAATGGGCCCACCATCTTCTGATCCCTGCTACTTGGCATTGCTATTGATCAGTGTACTGCAAGATGAACTCTGTCATGTTATATTGGATGAGAAGATTGCTTGCTGAAAGATTCTGTTAGAGAAAAAAAAGATTGAAAGAACCAGAGGTACAGCTATGGGTGAAGGCATTTTTTTTTTCTCATGAGGAATTAAGACTAATTAAAGTAGCACAGTGCCCAAAGGTGATTTATATACACTTTTTGGACAGACAAATGTAACTGAATCACCATCACAAAAGGAATGCATCAAGCAGAAAACAAAAGGAACTTGACAGGGTTAGGATCAGCTTCTTCTTTCAGCAGGGAGGTACACTAGAAGCCTCATTGCAGGCAGGAAATTTCAGGCAAAAGGAAAAGAGAAAAAGAGCTCATTATTAAATGTATATGCCACCCGTTCCATGAACCCTTTTCTGCTTTAATGAAGGGCTGAACCAATTCTGTCTCGAATCAAGGAGGATCACACCGTTATCATATCTCCGGTGTTTGATAATATCCATTTTGATGATTTCCAACTAACTCAGTACGCAGAGGCTGCCGACGGATTTGACTGGGCTCTTTGGTGTCTCTACGAGTCAATACCAGAAGATTGGTATGCGCTGAAAGACCAAACAGCACCAATCCGGTAAGCGAGGAGAGAATTGCTTCGTGCTGCGCTGAAGCTTGTGCAGGTCAACTTTCCTTGAAAGAAAATAACTGGAAGCTTTTATTGCAGTTATTACTACTCTTACTACAAATGGTGCTGCAGGCTGGCAAGATGAAAATATTAGCTGGGCAATGCTGGAAGACTGTAAATCGTTTGTCAGGAAACAGCCCAGGCATGTCTTCAGTGAAGCAACTTGAGCCCTGGAGGTGATTTGACTTGCTTTACTGATGGAAAGAGGCTACCCGATTCAATTCAGCCAAGGCATTCACGTGGCCTCAAGCTTGGCCGGTGCTGTAGACAAAGCTCTTCTCAGACCAGGGTCGATGTTTGTGTCACACACGGCCGGCAAGCACTTAAAATCATGAATTCTTATTTTGTACTAATTGAAGAGTAATTTATGGCTTTGAAAGAACGAGAAAGCACAATCTTATTCCTATGTGTTACAGTATATTTTCATCATACTTCATACCTCTAAGCACACCAGTGTGTGTGTGTGTGTGTGTGAGAGAGAGAGAAAGAGAGAGAGCAAGATAGTGAAAATTCACTATAAGATCCAAAATTAGTAAAGTATCGGTATCCACTCCAAATTACATTATATATATGATAAATATTCATGAGTAAAAGCTGATGACTCTCTTTTCTTTCTTTATATTAGGAGTCCTTCTATAATGGGAATACTTGCTGCAGACAGAGAATTTTTGGGGAAGATCGGTGTTCTGGATGGTGGAATGCACATTTATGGAGGAGAAAATGTGGAATTGGGGATCAGGGTGAGACCTTTTATTCCCTTCCCTTTCTTTGGAACGGGCAGCCTTTGATCCAAAGACTTCATCTGGGCCATGGAAATTCCTGTTCCAGTCCAGAAGAAGTTTAGTCTGGCTGAACCCACCCCTAACCTAAGGATCACCCCTGCATTGCCATCTAGCCTTTCCCTTCTTGACCCCAATCCTCTACCGCAAGACAAAGAGAAAAGCTCTTCTTTTTGTCCATCTTGTATATGCCTGAATTCCGTTGACTGAAATAATGCCCAATCCTCTAGTGAATCAAGATGACACATGTTGGTTACCTTTCTAAGGCCAGAGTCAGACCTGCTCTTAAACTCTCTGGTTCAGATTCACACACCACCTTTTCCTACAGCAGCTCAGCTGAGTAAACTTACTGACCATATTTCCATTCTGTGGACTCTGAAAAAGATCCCTCTAGAGGCATATTCAGCCAGGCCAGGTAAGAGTCTGAACAAAGAAACTCGAGTGGCATGGCACTAACATGCACAGGTCAGCATAGGTGCACAACTGATTGCATGCCAGCGATAAAAGTGAAAGCCCCAACTGAGGGCCACAGTGGCAGGGGTGTGGATTCAATCCCTGGCACTTCTGAAAGCAGGATTTGACTTCCTACGAATTCTTTGGAGGGGTTGCCAGGTAGCTCTGCTGTGATCAGCCAGCTCAGGAAGGCTTCCTCTGGACTACACCAAGCCTGGCATTAGGGCGCTGCATACCTACAAAGCCTAGAGCAGCATTCAGAAGAACCAGCGATTGGAAAACACTGCAAGGAGGACCACGATGACTGTGCTCTTAGTTTCTCTGCAGTACAAAAGGATTGTGCCATCTTTTCTGTTGCCCAAGTGGAGAGAGAAAGGAAAGGGAGTCAATGTTTGCTGATCAACGCCATATTAGTAGCAAATGTTAATCTTTCAGAGAAAGGCATTCCAATGAGAAACCACCAGATCAATTACTTTCTGCCTGCAGCGATTGGAATTAGATTAGAATTTTGTAAGAGTTTGCTACTAGATAATAAAGCAAAAGCCAAACAAACAAAAACCCTTAAAATTCAAATCAGTGTCCAAACAGAGCATTGCAAGGGCTGTGTGTTAGAATTTTAGCACAGATCCCCCTACAGATCCCCCTATAATTAACTGATCAGCCATCCTTCAGAAATACATGCTTTTAAGATCTGCTCAGCTAAAGTGTACTTATAGGTGCACAGATGATCTATGGAGATTCAATTTTAAAGTATGATGAAAATAAATGCAAATATAATAAATGGACATATATGTGTTTAATTAGATTCTTGAGAAGAATTTAGTCAAAAGCTTTATGTAGTTATTATTAATAACCAACTGGATCTTTGCTCGATAGTTTAGCCTGAGATAAGCACCATTTTTAAATACCACTTTTGTTGGTTTGCTTGTCTGAATGTGAGTGGTCTGTATAAGTGTGTTGGAAAGATTTAAGAGGAGGGAGGTCAACATGAATGGGTTGTCAGTTTGCTCACTCTGTTGGACAGTATTACAATACTTGGTTTTTAATGTATTTTTGTTGTTTTGCTTTGTTATCACTACAGTACAGTGCAGTTCGGTTATGTTTATTATATCGTTCCTGACATTATTATTGGTTATTCTGGTTCTGGCTATTGTGGCAAGTTAAACTGCTGCTGCTGCTGCTGCTGACAGTGTGCAGGAGACAGTCTCCGTGCAAATGGGGGAGGTACGTTGACTGGTTGCGTTGGTAGATGACCTCTGCTGGAACTTGGATGGGGGGCTGCGCCCTTTCTGGTCCTACCTGCTCTTTGAGTGGCCTTCAGTACCATGGGCCGTGGTATCCTCCTGGACTGTCAGCCTTGCGAGGTAATCCAGACAAGAAGCACGCCCAGAAGTAGTGCCTCTGCCTTCATTGTAAGGCTGCATTAACAGAATCTTGCAAGTCTGAAAGTACATTTCTCCTCCCTCATCTTTACAGTCCAAAAAACTAGGGAGGGTCCCTTCTGAGATGTTTGCCATGCCCTCGTTCCTTCTGTGGGCTCAGCTGCCTCTTGTCTGACCACTGCCCAGACTGCAGCTCTTCCTCCTGTCTCCCAAGGCCATTCCCACAGACCACTACATGGACTGTCTGCAAGAGTTGGGGCGGGAGGCCGTGGTTTACAGTGGTTCCACTCCTGCCTTAGCAAGCAATGCCAGTCTTTGGTGCCTGGGGAAGAGAGGTCATCTCAGTGACCCCTTGTAAGTGGGGGGGCATCAGGGATTAGTTCTCTCCTTCCTATTGTTTAACACTCATATGAAGCTGCTGGGAGAGGTCCTTTGTTGGTTTCAAACTATCACCAATACATTGATGACACCTAACTTTATATCAGTTCCCTGAGCCTTAAAGGTGACGCTGTAGTAGTCTTGTTCCAACGTCTGAAGGCTGTAGGGGGAAGGGGTGGAACAAATCAGGCAGGAATTAAGCTCAAGCAAAATGGACTTTATGTTTGGTCATCAAGATGCGCAGCCAGTTCCACTCTTGCCTCTCAGTGGGGTAGTGCTGCCCCGGAGAGAGCAGGCCCAGGACCTGGGATCCTCTTGGACCCAAAACTGCTGCTGGATATGCAGATAGAGGCTATGGCTGGCTGTGGCCTGGAGAGCTTTTTCCAAGCTTTGGCTGGTGTGCCAGTTGTGGCCCTGTGTGGATCACAAGGTTCTTGCAGTGGTAACTCATGGCCTCATCAGTCCCTACGAGAGTACTACAATGCACTCTATATGGGGCTGTCTGGAGATTGCAATTGGTACAAAATTCTTCAGCCCAGTTGTTGGTGGGTGTTGCTCACTAAGAGCACATGACACCTGTGCTTCAGACTCTACACTGATTGCCATTAGGTTTCTGGATAAAATTCAGAGTTTCAAAATCTTAACCTACAAAGCCCTATGTGGTTCGGCCCTAGATATGTGCAAGCCTACCTCTACTTACTGAATTTGCCCATTTGGCATGTTTTTCCTGGGAGAAGCTCCTATTATGTCCCACTTTTGCGAGGTAAGGAATGAAGGCCAGGAGATACGGTTTCTTGGCCCCTGCTCTGGCCTTATGGAATAGTCTCCGTTTGGAATGAAGGAATCCTTTTTAACATTGTGGAACTTGCTTAAGAGAGGCTCTTGGGGATTAGCTGTCACCAGGTCTTCATTTCAGTTTAACTGCTGTGTTTCCTTTTTGTCTTATATTTTAGTCGGATCCTTCTTCTCCTTCTCGTTCTTCCTCACTGTTGTTGATTTTGGTTTTAAGGCTTACCAGGAACCTTTTAACTGATTGTATATTTTTATTGGATTGCTGTAACTGCCATTGCTTTGGAGGTACACAAACAGAATGAATAAATGAATAAGTAAACAGATAAAAAATATTGCAGACATGGGCCAAAGCCTTCAACAAACAATGCGATCCCTATCTTGATGGTGACAATAGAGCTGAATGCAAAGTAAAAGAACCCCAGAGTAAAAGTTCTTTTTTGAATTGAGGTAGGATAGAAATATGCTTAATAAATAAATAAATAAATGGAGAGCAGATCGTTCATGGAGCCAGGACTCCATGGCTCTGTGCAAGAAGGAGGAGCATAAGACAAAGACGAGGGCAAGCGGCCTTGATGGAAGGCAGCAGGGGAAGGTTGCAAAGGAGGCAGTGCGGTTTTGAACTTGACTGGCTGGGGTTGAGGTGGGCTGTGAATCTGGGTGGCTTTTTCTCAAGCTAAGTGTGGGGGTGTTTGTTTGGGTCAAGGGAGAGAGGTTTACAGGTGCAGGTCTTGTAAGTCTGCCTGGTGCATAGAGCTCCTTTCCTCAGGTGCCAGCTCGCTCCCAGCCAGGACTCTTGAGAGGGAAGAGCCATAGGTCTTGCAGTTGCTCTTATGGAAAAAGTGAAGACTGTATTCCTATTTTATAACTACAGGCTTGGCAGTGTGGAGGGAGAGTTGAAGTCTTGCCATGTTCAAGGATTGCACACCTGGAGCGAGCACACAAGCCCTATTTACTGGATTTGTCCCTTGCTATGAAGAGAAATGCGTTACGTGTAGCAGAAGTGTGGATGGACGAGTATAAATCCATGGTCTACTACGCCTGGAATATACCTCTTGAGGTTACTGGCAAATTTTATCTAAGTAACAAGTATTGTGGCTGAGCCTGAAATTAAGAGGCAGAGACAGAAAAAGGGTTAAAATAGGGCCACAGCTTTGTTGATTGAACTAACAAAAGTTCAACAGAAAATTCTCCTTTCCCTCTTAGTTGTCTGCCCGATAGATAATTCCAAGGTCAGGAGCTGAGGGTTAACCAAGGATTGTTTATCCTCACCCTCCAATCAAAATTTTGAGGGAACCCCACCCCCCATCCTAAGTCACATCTTGTGGAAACCCAGGACCCAAAGGAAGATTCTTCTCACACAGAGCTCCACATCGTAGCTGACAGGCCCAGGGAATTCCTGCTCACTCTAGGGCATATCTAAGTAGTTACTGTACAGGGAGTCCTTAACTTATGACCACAACTGGGACTGGAATTTCCATCAATAAGAGATGCAGTCATAAAGCGAGATGTCACATGACCACATCACTTAGCAACTGCAATCCTGACACTCCCATTGCTGTTGTTAACTGAGAATTGCCCTGGTCATCTCTTGGTTAGACTATTGCAATGCGCTCTACATGGGGCTACCCTTGAAGAGTATCCGGAAGCTACAGCTGGTTCAAAATGTGGCTGCGTGGATGATATTAGGTGCTCCAAGGTTGACACATGTAACATCTTTGCTGCGGGAGCTGCATTGGGTGCCGGTTTGCTTCTGGGTCCAATTCAAGGTGTGGGTTATTACCTTTAAAGCCCTACATGGCGTGGTCCAGGTTACCTGAGGGACTGTCTCACCCCCATCATATCAACCCACCCCACCCAGTCAGGCAGAGAGGGCAGTTGCGGACCCTGTCAGTGAGAGAAGGTTGGCTGGTGGGGTGCAGGAGGAGAGCCTTCTCTGCTGTGGCCCCTGCCCTTTGGAATATTCTCCCCCCAGAGGTGCGGCAGGCCCCTACCCTCCCAGCTTTCTGGAAAGGATTAAAGAACTGCCTCCTCCAGCCTGTTTCG